CCTCAGCCGCAGGCTGTCCGACCTTATTTAGGCCGCAATAGCCTAGTTCTCTTCCTCGCCCGCACTTTGAAGACTACGTTAGGAATAAAACAGCGCCACCAGACGTGCCGTTGGATTGGAGTGGTTGATTGGACTGTGTCGACCAGCATAAGCTGAGTGGTGCAACACGAGAGCGTGATGCCAAGAGCTAGCATGCAGAAGCGTACTTGTGTGGTGCAGCCTTGTCCTCGTCACATATCAAAGGGGAATGTATATTAGGTAGACGCTCTAGGAATAACTCCCAAAGGAAATACTGCTGGTGAAGGGCGGCGGTGGGGGCTGAAACTCGATGCACGACGATATCACACTCGCTGTATACCAGACACTTGCAGGGCCACGGCTTTATCAAATCATGCTTTGAGAATATACTTACCGGTATTACGTATTACATCCGTATTATGATTGATATTGTTGCAATGTGACTGCCTACCTTATCTAGATACACGGACAAGCCTGGAGCTCTCCCACCGGTGAGGCGTCAGAAAACAGTATTAAGAGTGTAGTCTACAGTGGATAACAGTGCAGAGCTGGAGGAAAGAAGGTTGGATAGTGGCAAATTCTAAGGCGGTATACCATATAAGTACATTCAGTACGCCTTCTTAGCTCAGTTGGTAGAGCGCTGGTCTCATAATAATGACTCGGAATCATTCCGGGATATCCAGAGGTCGACAGTTCGAGCCTGCCAGAGGGCATACAATTTTTGCTTCGTGGTGGACCATGCCACTAGTCCTTTTTTTGGACCTACTGGTTGGTACTTTGAAGTGGGGAATGTATAATACTTTTCGATCCCCCTTGCAGTGGGCCAGTTGATGGCTGGGCTGTCGCATGTTGCGGCGGGCTTCAGGTCTACAGAAGGCGGCTGTTTAAGATTTGCCCTCACCCGACATGGGCATCTCAAGATAGCAAATCCTAATCACACAGTTGTGCCTAACCGTCTTTTCGAGTTTTGCGCTCCTATATTAATTCCTACTCCATACTTACAGCATTCTTCTATTATAGACAGATGTTGATGGTATTTACACTGTATGCGTCCGCATCGGAATGGAGAAGTCTTCTATGTGAACCAGACTGAGTAAAGATCCATTTCAACGGTTCCTTGCCCCTAGGAAGAAGTAAGGCGCGAACCTTGTATAAGTTTCCGCAACCCCCCCCCCAGCGAAGACCGAGAAGGAGCTGAGCTGGAACCTAAGAATGTATGGACAGAGGGACAAATCCGTGAACGCCATCTCGGGCTGCGGTAAACGAAGTATGATTGCTGGTGATTTCCTGCATAATACGTCCTCCCCCGCCCTGGGAAACCCACCAGATAGCGCTCTACCCATTTCTTGCAAAGTCAGATACGGAATCAAGGGAGCTCCTAGCGAAGGCACGTAACAATTTAGTCTATTTAGCGAAATGTAGGAGGAAAAAAAAAATCCAAGATGCCGTCGACCATCTACGCCTCAGGGACGACCAAGATATCGTCGACGTTGACAACTTGCCCCGTGGCGATTGACCTATTCGCCGCAATACCCGTCAGAATGGAGGCAGCACCATCAATGTGGCTCGCCGCCCGAAGGTACTCATCCGTCACAGGTTCCCCAAACAGATCATTCAGCAAAACGGAGTCGCCTCCACCGTGAGCGCCGATGCTATCCCCCAGCTCAATCTCGACAGGCTTCTTAAACAACTGCCTCAGAGTAATAGTCCGGCTTTCCAACGATCCCTCGAGCGACTGATCGCCACCGGAGTTGACGTAGCTGTTCTCCACCACCTCAACCTCCAGCCGTCCGCCGGTTCCGTTGATGTTCACCCGGAACCCCTCCCATGGCGCGTACGCAGTCAGACTATACGTCATGCTCACGTCGTTGCGATACTTGACGAGGACATTCATCGTATCTTCGATGCTGATGCCGTCCCCGAAGACGCTCTGATCACGGTGGTACGCGTCCTCGTGCTCGGCATCGAGGTACATGGCCTTCAGGTTCTCGTTATCAGCAAGGTGCAGCGCAAACGGGTCCGACTTTGCGACCTCACTCCCGTGAGCGCGGGTATAAAACTTGGTCTCGCCGCGTTTCTCTGCATTCTCGCGCCCGTAAAACTTCAGCCCCCCCGTAGCATACACCGTCTGCGGCCGTGACTGTAACCAGAAGTTCACCAGGTCAAAGTGGTGCGTCGACTTATGCACGAGCAGTCCACCACTGTTCTGTTTGTTTCTGTGCCACCGGCGGAAGTAATCCGCGCCGTGGCTCGTGTTGAGCATCCACTCAAAGTGAACGCTCGTCACCTTCCCAATAGCGCCGGACCGGATTATCTCGAAGATCTTGGTATTGTGCGGCGCGTACCGGTAGTTGAAGGTCACGCGCACCTTCTTCCCCGTGCGCTCCACGGCCGAGAAGATCTCCCTGCACCGCGGGGCGTCGATGGTCATGGGCTTCTCGGTGATGACGTTGCAGCCGAGCTCGAGCGCGCGGACAATGTAAATGTTGTGCGTGCGGTCGATGGTGGTGACGATGACCTCGTCAGGTTTTGTGTCTTGGATCATGCGGTCGAAGTCGGCCGCCTTGTAGGTGGGCACCTCGCCGTGGCCGAGGGAAGAGAGCTTGGAGTTGGCATAGTTCATGCGCGTCTGGTTCGTGTCGCAAAGGGCGACGATGATGGAGGTCGTGCTATAGTCCGCGGCGATGGCCGTGTAGAAGAAGCTGGAGCGGCCGCCCGTGCCGACGATGGCATACTTCTTTTTGGTAGCCATTGCTCTGGTATACTACGCGTCAGATGATGGGGCTTTGTGTACGGCTATACAGCAAGACGTTCGTGGAGAGACTAAGGATCGACTATTGAAGAGTTGTCGGGAATGCTCTCAGCCGGGCTTATCTCCTTCGGCACTCATTTATGAACAAGGGTGAAACTGGCCACAAGAGACCAGGTGGTGAGATATAACTCGATGACAACCTGCCTCAATAGGTAGCGCTCGAAATCCTTCTTGGAGCTCTCTCGGATTCGACTCACCCGCTCCCCGAGGTGAGCCGTGCGGGGGTGACGCGGGGTTTATGAGAGATTGGGCTGTTTGGCCACACAGAGGCATCCTTCTTTTAGCCATTGGATAACAATAGACGGTAGTTGCAGGAAAGTCGCCGGCTCCCACTCTGCCGCTTATCCGCGCTACCTCTGGTCTCCCTCCGGGGAACTTAGCACTTCTTAACCGGACAGCTGTGCCCGAGTGAGAACCCTCTCACTAGGCCATGAAGAGAGCGATCCTAACTGCTTCTGGTCACCACCCTGGCGGTTCCCCGCATGTCGCCCCCAAGCACCCCAGTTTCCAGGTTGGGTTATTCCACCAATCAGCTGATCTCTCGGCGACCCCAGGGCGTTTAGGGGCGGAGTTGGATTTAGGTCCGCGTTCATCCCTCCCCCCACATCATCCGGATCCCCGGATTTTGAGAATACTGTTGGGGAAGATTCCCAGTAGACCGGGATGCGAGGTCAGCGTGACAATGAAGGATTCCTGCCACGCTACCCTTTGAGGGGAGGATTGTCCTGGCTATGTGCACCGGCTACCGGCTAAAGGTCTCATCAGGTCCTTGGCTGCATCTATCTCGGCCAAGCTCAGGCCGAGGGCCAACCTATATTGATCGTCGGCTTAATATACACAGCTTGAATGCGCGGCGTATGCACATTAGTTGCTTTCACAATATCAGCCATTTCTTCACCAAAGACTTATAACAGCGGGCGCACGTCCTTAGCCCTCTTAACCCAGACTGCGTCCCCCCTGGCCACAACGCCTTTAAATCCGTACTCTCAGGGGCATTTACCTCCCATAATTTCTAAAGTCCGTCCCCTTATTATCTTCGTCAGCGATGTCCGACCTCACTGGACACGATAAGGGGGCCGCCGAGGCCATCACCCCGGCGCCTCCCGTTGCTGAGCAGTCTGGGGCCCGCAACTACATCGGCGAGAAGGCTGCCGAGTTCCTTGCGGCCCACGGCCAAGTCACGTACACGTACGACGAGGAGAAAAGAGTCCTCAAGAAGATCAACTGGCGTGTCTTACCCATCCTTCTGGGGTCATACTTCTTCCAGCAGCTGGACAAGAGTTCTTTGAGGTGAGAACCAGCGAATCGGCGTGTCATACACGGTCCCCTTTTTTCTTCCCTCCCCGCACGATTCATCGTCCGCCTCAACTCGGTGTTAATGCCCAGCCGCTAACCCGCACATGCTCCCAGTTACGTCTCCATCTTCGGCATAATCGAGGATGCCAACCTCGTGGGCAAACAGTACTCTTGGCTCGGCTCCATCCTCTACCTCGCGCAGCTCGTCTTCCAACCCCTTGCGGCTTTCATCCTGGTGAAGCTCCCCTATGGAAAAGTCATCGGGGCCGCCGTCTTCTGCTGGGGAGCCACCCAGGCCATCATGACCGCCGCCACGGGCTTCCCATCCCTTCTTGGCCTCCGCTTCCTCCTCGGTACCTTCGAGGCCATGATAGCCCCGTCCTGCGTCGCCGTCACGACGATGTGGTGGCGCCGCAGCGAGCAGACCCTCGTGACGAGCACTTGGAACGCGATGAATGGTATTACGGCTATTGTGGGCAGCCTGGTCACGTACGGGCTGGGGCATGTCCACAGCGATACCCTCTATAGGTACCAGGTGATCTTCCTGTTCTGTGGTCTTCTCACCGTGGCTTGGTCAGCTGTCGTGCTGGTCTTTATGCCGGACAGCCCCATGGAGACGAAGTTCATAGGCGAGCGGGAGAAGTTAATCGCGGTCCAGCGTCTTCGTGCGAACCAGACCGGTATCGCATCTAGGCAGTGGCGGTGGGACCATGTGTGGGAGACAGTGCTGGACCTAAAGACCTGGTGTTGGTTTATTCTGATCATCGCCATCTCGTGAGTGATCCTTCTCCCAACCTCCCCCACCTTATCCCAGCTTCACGCAGGCAAGCCATCTTCCCTCGTATCTGACGTCAAGTTTAACCCATAACAGAATTGCGAGTGGGGGCATTGGCACCTTTGGTAGCCTCATCGTTAAGTCCTTTGGCTACGACGAGTTTGAAGCCATCCTCTTCAACATTCCCTTCGGCGTTATCCAGGTAATTGCCATCATGTCCACCGGCTGGATTGCCACCAAGTTCCAGCGCAAAGGCCTCACGATAACCGGCATCTCCGTCCTCCCAATCATCGGCACCGTACTCATGCTCACAGTTCCACGCGAGCAGAAAGGTGTCCTACTTTTCGGATACTACCTCGTATCGTGCCTTGCAGCCGTCACCCCCCTAGTGTACACCTGGCAGGCGCAGAACACTGCAGGTGACACTAAGAAGAAGTCTACTTCGGCTGTTGTCTTCATCGGAATGTGCACGGGTAACGTCATTGGCCCGCAGCTGTACTCACCGGCTCAGGCGCCGCTGTACCGCGCTGGTCTCATCTCGAACTTGATGATGTTTGTGCTTGTCGCCTTGCTAGGCATTCTAATCCCGCTGTATCTGATGTACCTGAACAAGGTGCATGCTAAGCGCAGGGAGGAGTTGGGAAAGAACGCTGCGATTGCGGATGAATCTATGATGTCAACGAAGACGGCGGAGGTCTCGAAAGCGATTGAGTTGGAGGAGCAGCAGCCACAGGGCAGGTCGCTGGAGGAAGACAATGGGTTGCACGACATGACGGACCTGAAGAACGAGGACTTTATCTTTGTATACTGAGGGGGTAGCGCCCAGGGAC